CAGCAGATCAGTGCTTAACCCACTAAGCCACCAGGACTCTTTGGAAACCATGGCATGGTATGTAATTTATTTGGCTAATTTATCGTGCATTTATTTTTAAGTCCGTGAACACATATTTACTATCTTCCAGACGCTGTTCAGTGTGAGCAAACATAGACTCCAGTCCTGTTCTTGAAGGGTTCACACACAAGTCCCACCGCTGTCACAGGTCCCACATATCTTACACGTTTTCCTTCCTTCCTGTCTCCTCATCCACCTGCCCCCTGGTTGATCTCAACTTGTTTCCCACCACTCTATGCCTGCCCACATTCTTGTTTCGAATGGAGCTTACCTCAATGCATCTCCAGGTTTAGTGTGTATGGAATCACCATCATGGCTGGCAGCATTCCCTAGAGTTTGACTGAGTAGATCTATTGTGGGCCCAAGAATTTGCTTCTCTAATGGCATAGAACTAGGTTAGTGGTTGGGCCGTGAGCCACATGGTCCACAGTTTGGAACCACTGGTAGCTTCCGGAGCAAGGCTGGACTTTCCACTCCCATAAACAGTTACAGTTTCAGAAACCCACAGGGGGTCAGTGTGAGTCAGCTTTGATTCGATGGCAGCCAGAATGGATCCCAGGGGGCCTTGGTGGCGTAGTGGTCCTGTGTTGACCTGCTACTGGCAAGACAAGCGGTTTGAAACCACCAGCCACTCAGCAGGAGAAAGCGAGTTACAGTTTTAGAAACTCATAGGAACAGTTGTCCCCTGTCCCATAGAGCCATCCCAAGCCAGAACTGACACGGGGACAGTGGATGAATGGTTCCCAGGTTCCCAGGGCAAATGGTTCACCCCGAGTCAGAACTGAGAGGGTGACAGTGGATGAATGGTTCCCAGGGGAGGCCACTGGTGAGACTGACGGCATTACTGGGAGGCTCCTGCTAGAGGAATTGTTTCCTTTGCCCCAGTTGGAGCCACCTTATATTTCAGGGGGAGAAAAAGACCATAAGAAAAAAATAAAGGCAAGAATGACAAGCAAAATGTGTAATAATTTAGAGAGTGGAAAGTACAGAGGATAATAAAAGTAAAGTAAGGAACAGAGGATACACAATGTTTGGGAATGAGGGTTGTGGGTGTTGAGGGGTGTTGTTACTGAGAAGGGGATATTTAATCAAGACCTGCAGAAAATGAGGCTGTCCTAAGAGAGGCAGGGGAAGCGGCGAGTGCAAAGATGTTCAGGTAGGGCTCTGCAGAGTCTGAAGAACCACTGGGCGGGCAATGGAGCTGGCCTGAGTGAACACTGCACAGAGCAGTACGGGAGGAGCGGAGGGTAAGTCTTTGGTTTTTCTCTGTATGAGTGGAGCTCTTGGAGGGTTTGAACAGAGGAAAGAGATGACTTGATTTTCCTACCAGGATCCCTCATAACAGGCAAGACCTCAGAGGGAGAAAAGAATAAGCAACTAGGTAAGAAGCTGCTACAACATTTCAGGAAAGATCTGATGGGCTTTCTTCTGGACCAGGACGGTGGAGGTGGAAATGATAAGTGGGCCAATTCTGGATTCTATTTTGAACATAGAACCAACAAGGTTTACTGGTGGTCTCAAATGTGAGCAAAAGAGGCATCTAGGCTGAGCAGCTAGATGAGTGGAAGGAACCAACAAGTAGATACTTCCGAGGGAGTTGACTTTGGGGTGGAAGGAGCTCAGTTTGGGACAGATTTACTTTGAGTTGCGTGTCAGACAATTCCTGGAGATGCAAGGTAAGCTGATGGATATGGATATGGAGTTCAGGGGAGAGGATGAAGGGAGAAGTTCAAGGGGCTGTTTTGCCTAGACTTGTATGTCTACAGGTGGTACTTAAGGCTGTTGGTACTGGTTCGGTTCCCCCTTAATGGACAGGTACACCATTGCCTGCCACAGTGAGTGTTTGACTGCTGAAAGTTCAAGACCTTCCTGCAGGCAAATAGCAGCCACTTGCTGGTAGATAAAGACCTACAACTCCCTCCTCACAAGGGACTAAAACTCTAAACCAAACTCATGATCATTTCAACTCATGGTGACCCCACCTATCACAGAGAAGAACCGCTCCATAGAGTTTATAGGCTGTCATCTGGATGAATTCAGTCAATCTTTAGCTTAGTGGCCATTGCTGAATAACTGTAGTACAATGGATGGTTTGAGCCTTCCATGGGATCAGGCTGGAGCTAGCCCCAAACGGAGATATGAGACAACACACACACACACACACACACACACACACACACACACACACACACACACACACACACAAAAGGACCCGCACTTCTTTCCTTCACCGGACCTCTCCCTTGTAGGTTTCTGCAAAATTGTCATTAAATGCCATTGAGTCAGTTTTGACTCACAGTGAGCCTGTGCAGAACAGAGCAAAGCACTGTCTGGTCCCGGGCTAGTCTCCCAATTGTTTGAGCCAGTTATTGCAGCCGCCATGTCAGTCTGTCTTTTTGAGCATCTTCCTCTTTTTTTTCTAACTCTCTACTCTACCATGCATGATGTCCTTCTCCAAGTTCTGGCCCATCCTGTTGATGTGTCCATAGTCCATGAGACAAAGTCTTACCATTCCTGCTCCCCGAAGAGCATTCCGGCCACACTTCCTAGTCACTGTCTACCGTTCGAATGCATGGGATGCAATTGAAGATACCATGCATTGGGTCAGGTGCACCTTAGTCCGCAGGGTGGCATCTTCTCCCAAGATTACCCCATCATAAAATCCTCATGCTTGATGTCTCCCCGGCTTCTACTTCTAGGGAGTTGCTCTAGTCCAGGAGGGCTGGGCTGTTTATGTTACGTGCCTGTGGGAACCCTTCTTCTGGAAGTGTTCAGGTTTTTCAGGTTGTATATTATCTGATTTCATGATGAGTCATGATGGATTTGAGATGCCACTGGCCGCCCTGTTCGCTGTCATTAGCAATGCAAGGCTTGTTGTGGGTACAAGCGGGAGACCGAGCTGGTCCTGGGGGGAGGCGAGTCATTCTTTCCGCCTCGGTGCATTTTAATCATATTTCCCTCTGTCAAACCGAGCAGTACTTTCAATCTTACTGCACAGTCTCTGCTTCCTCCACTCAGATCAGAAACAAATCAGCGTGATCCAGGCTGGCAGTGGATCATTTAGAGATTTTCGTCCCTGTTAGTAGTCAAGGGCTGACTGAGCCTTTTGTATGTGTGTGTGAATGCGCATGTGCATTTGTTTTCAGATCATAGATGCCACTGCCTCTCATTTTGCAAATGCTGTGTATATTGTACTTTAACTTTCAAGAATTTTGGAGGTCATGGAGAAGAGAGAATGAGCACAAACCAAAGTCTCTAACTGTGAATTCTGCCCAACAGAGAGGGCTGGCAATCTATCATACTTTTCTTTTAAATTGAGGAATGACAAATAAACAGTAAAGTGCCTGAATGTTAAGTATGCAACTTTATATTTTACATAGGTGAATGCCCATGTTAACACCAACTAGATCAAGACATACAACATTTACAGGTTCTTTTGTGCCCTTTTAATAGTCTAATTTTGCCCCCAATCAAGGTAACAACCTTCCTTCTATCCCCATCAATTAACATGCCTATTCTTGAACTTTCTGTAAATGGGATCATATACTAGACAATCTTTCATATTTGGCTTCTTTGATAATTTTTTCCAAATGGATCCATATGGTTGTGTGCCACAGAAGTTTATTCTGTTTAGATTTCTGGATGGTATTCTATTACTTGAATATAGCAATATGTTTAGTCATGATACTCTTGTTGGATTACTCTCAAGTTTTGACTGTCATAGTACTTTTAAGACTACCTTAACGCCTATGAATAGAGTTCATGCCTCCTTTAAGCCAGGAGGGGGATTGGTACCCTTACCTTTATTGGAGAGTTGAGAAACCTTCACAGAGAATTTCAGCGACTCACCCAATGCCACGTAGCCAGTTAGGCACAGAACTAGGGCTGGAACTCAGGTCTCTTACTTTTTGGTCCAGTGATCTGACCTAGTCCCCTACAAACATTGCCCCTGAAATTTTTGACACCCAGATCCTGAGTCAGAAGATCGCTCTAGAACCTTGTGTGTAGAGACCCTGCTGAGATACCTTATTTGGTCGGGATGTCTTATCGTTGAACAAACACAGTTTTGTCAAGAGCCCTTGAGCACAGACGGATGACCATGATACTCAGGTAGCAATGACAATGAAGTCTCCTGTTTAATTCTCAGGTTGCAACTGAAACCCCACTCCACAGACCCTAGTGACTAAGCATTTGCATCAAAGTCTGGTGCCTGCCAAGCATAGGCAGGGAGCAGAATTTTCAGGGTGGACGTCACCTGCAACGACACTTAGGTTTAGATGTTGTCACTACAATGGTCCCCACACCAGGGGTTTTGGCAAAATTGACAGGATGCAGCCCCCACCCTTTCTCTGACTGCTTTCAGGAGCAGGGGTTAGGGAGAAGTGGGCAGGGAGGAGTTGGAAGAGGCATGCTAGTATTTAGGGAGATGGAGAAGGTCGGAAAAGAAGGCCACAGACCAGAAGGTGCCCTGAGCATCCCTTCTACTGATTTCTAAGCTGAGTGCCCAGAGCAGGCATCATTTTCCATCCTGTCTCTCTGCCATGTCCTCACAAATCATTGTGATGCCCTTGCTGGGCCCCTGCAGGATTCAAAGGAGCCTGGCAGTCACAGGCTACACTAGCTGTGGCTGGCTTCTCTGCTCATTCTCTTTTTCCCACGATATCAATGCCTTTCTTGCTTATTTTTTGTTTTTCTCACTGCTGTTATTTTTCTAAACAAGGAAGGATTTCTAGGCTAGGACAACAGGAAAGATGTACAGTCTTTCTGGTCCAGAACCATCCTGTAAGCTTCACGGTCACCATGGACCTGGGGTCTTCTTTGTTGTTAGGGGCTGTGGAGAGGGTTCAGGATCATGCCACTTTATGGCAAACAGAACAGACCATTGCCTAGTCCCATGCCAGCCTCATCCTGGTTGCCATGTTGAAGCTTGCTTTTATTTTTAAAATATGGAATGCTTCAAGAATTTGCATGTCATCTTTGCGCAGAGGCCACGCCAATCTTCTCTGTATTGTTCCAATGTTAGTCTCTGTGCTACCGAAGCCAGCATGACGCTTGTTACAGTGGTTCTTTTTCAATCCGTGCCATAGATGCTTCCTTCATTTCCGTTGGCTCTCGGTTTTACCAACAGGACGCCCTTTTCTCTAAGGTGGGTTTTCCGGATGATGTGTGCAAAGTGCCGAGCCCAAGTCTGGCCATCTCCATTTCCGAAAATTCTGGCAGGATTTGATCTCACGTGGATTTGTTCATTCTTCTGGCCAATCCTGGCATAGTCCATAATCTTTTGCCAACACCACAATCCTGATGCCTCCGTTTGGCTCTGGCCCATTCTCATTGTCTAGCCTTCACACACACATGTGCGGTGCTGGGGAAGACCATGACGTGGGTCAGGGCAATCCTTACTGCTCACTTTTCCAGACAAGGAAACGGAAGCTCCGAGAGGTTAACTAGGGTAACTAGCTTGTCCCGATTCACCCACACCTTTCTGGTTTTCACATGGGAAGTCCTGCACCCTCAAGCCCAAGCACCTGGGGACATTTGTCCCCTTAGGTTAAGAGACTTGCCTAAGGGTTCAAGCTAGGAAGTACCAGGACTGAGATTTGAATTCAAGTCCCTCTGGTTCCCAAAGGGGCATTTTTCTAGCCCTGTGATATTGACATTTCCCTGGGTATTAGTTTGAAGTAACGTAGTCGGTGCTTTGTGGTATAGGCTTCGCAACAGCGGTTTGGCTGGGGCAGGAGACAAGGAAGAACCACCTCCAGCTCACAGTAATTTACAGATACCCGTGGACACGTCCAGCTCTTAGCCTGCCTACCTGCTCCAGCTGACTTCAGTGGAGAAGAGGGGCGAAAACCTTATTGATTTAGGTGTGGTGGGTGGCAAGGCAGAATAGAACTATTGCCGATCACTGTTGTTCATATTTCCCAACCTTGTCTCATGGTAGAGTGTGTTAGTCTGGGTAAACTAGTCTAGGCTGTCAATCAGGATATAGCCACGGAGACCTCTGTGTGGGCATGGCCCTACCTTAAGGATTCTGGGAAATCTATTTTCCTCCTTGGAGGGAGGAGACACTTCTCTCTCTGTTCACTCCTTGGAGACTCTATACGGTCAAGACACATGGCACTGTGCTGATAGAGCCTGGAAACTGGAGAAGCCACGGGGAGACCCCTGCCAGCACTGAGATGCTTACAACGCCATTGGATCCAAACACTTTCTACCCACTGGCCTGTGATCGTCCTGCATTCAGCATCATGGCATGTGTTTTGTGAGAGTCTGAAGAGGACTTTATAGATTGGTATTGGACATATGGGCTAATATCAGACTTATAGGCTTGGACTGGACTGGGCTGGGATGTTTCCTCAATATTCAACTGCTCTTGTATATAAATCTTTCTTATATACATATGAGTGTCTATGAATTTGTTTCTCTAGTCTACTAAGACTAGCACAGTAGAAGTTCCTAAGGTTTGGGAATCATATTATAGGTAGTGAGATGTGAGGTAATGATTATTATTATTTTTATTATGGCCAATGTGCTCATAGAGTTATAATTTTTATCAATATTGGGATGAGGAAAGCATTCTGGATTCAACTTGGGTGTCAAAGCCATTTTTGTTTTTTGCACAAGCAGTGCAAGGAGCCCTGGTGGTGACGTGGATTATGCTTTGGGATGCTAACCACAAAGTCGATGGTTCTAACCCACCAGCTGCTCCTTAGGAGACAGATGAGGCTTCCTACTCCCATAAAGATGGACAGTCTAGGGAACCCACAAGGGGCAGTTCTACTCTGTCGTGTCTGATTGCTATGCGTTGAAATAGACTCTATGGCAGTGAATAGTGAACGATGACTCCAGTAGCAGCCCCTCCCACCGGCAGGTGTTCAACCCTCTAAAATATATGCCCAACCCTCTGGTGGACCAGAACAAGACCCGGGTCCCCATCGCTTTTCTCCCAGACCTTGTGCACGATTATGGAGAACTTCATTTTCTCTGACCCACTTTCTTCAGGTTACTTACTCAAGCAGAATTTCGCCAATTACCCTAATTAAAAAATGTCTCCATTAGATTTTACTGTTTGGTACAAAAATGATGTGATTAATTTTCTACTAGAAGCCAAACCATACATATCACTCAACCTTGAGCTTTAATATAGCCCCGGGTGATGGATGGCCTGACCGTCATTTTCCGTAAAGGGGAATTCCGTGCCATCCCCTCCTTACCCCGGCTGATGCCTGCTCCTCTTTTCCTCACTGCCACTAAGTTTAGGTAATTCACACAGAATTTTAGGGGGCCAACATTTAGATACATAAAAGCACTGAATGGAAACTAGACTGTGTCAAGAAGCTTAACTTCATGCATAGTCAGATCCCGAGGTAGGCCACTTTTGTCATAAGGCTCTTGTCTCACGGGAGTATGACATTGTCCGGGGAAGGTAGCATGCCTGGGAGGAAGGAGGAGAATGGGAATGGGGGAATAGGTATTTCTCTATGCAGGTACCATACTTAAATCATTTTATTTATGCTTGCTAACAACTCTTATGAAAAAAGATACACAAAGACACCAAGAGTCAGAGTAGGTGAATAGCTTGTTCAGTGTCCCAAGCAGGTACTAAGTGGCAGAGCCAATATCAACCAGGCCTAATTCCAAAGTGCATTCTCTTTGTACAGTACTACAAGGAAAAGAATAAGGGAATTAGAACAAATCCTAGGGGAAGATACTAGAAGATGTATCTCTCTATGTAACTATCTCTATATCAGTAAACAT